AAGGTCAATTTTTGACCACGGCGTTACGCATCAAGCTTTTAACCACACGCGCTTGTTCACACACGCATGCCTTTACATACGCCCGGAGGTTTTGTCATATTTTCAAACCGAGTGAAGGAGAGCTGATAGTTTCGCTTTACTAGAAACGAGGAGCTGAAGAGAAATGAGCGAGTAAAAAACACGATGACTTGTCAAATACACGTATTGAGAAAACGTTTGAAGAATCAAGAGACAAATCAACAGGCTGAATACATTCTTTTTTTTTTAAATTCATTTGCATTGAGAGAAAAACAATAGCAACGGAATTCTCCTATTCATTCATCCTTGACTGATGCAAAGCATTTTAACTTCAAATCGTTGGTTTCAAAAATCTGACCCTTTTTTTTTTTTTTTGAAGATTTGCACAGCGAATTCCCAAATGAGTGCAGACATTTGACCAAAATTTTCTGAACCTTTCATTTGCGAGAATTGCACATTTTCATGATATCATTCGAAAATTCTTTTCATATTCGTCATTTCAATGAATTCAAACCCTTTTTGCTCCAATAGGATCAATTTTTTTTTTTTAAATCCAACTTTTAGAAAAATTTAATTCCACATCCCCCCCCAAAAAACAAACAAACAACAACATTCAAATTGTTCCATAAATTTAACAACTTTCACTTCAAGATCATTACAATTTTTTCGACCAATTCAACATTCAGTTGAGTTGAGTTGAGTTGTTTTCAGAATTCCACAGCGGGCTGCTCTTTCCACGGTAACGTCATATTTCTCATTCTCTCTCGACTTTCCAGCCGATGACCGCCGCTCACGCCAGGGGTAAGATCCTGGCATACTTGGTGGCGGTACACGGCTCCCAGTCTGTACCAGTGTCCACGTCCAACCTCAGTGCAAACGCCACCGGCGCTTCCGTTGCGTTTTGCGCCGGGTGTCATGTGACGGTGAGCGCCCTCAATGCCAAAGGGACGTCTCCACCGGCCAAAATCGTCGCCTATCGTGCCAAAGGTAAACGATCACGTCCACAGCCTCGGGAATGTATTCACAGCGCTTCCTTTTTTTTTTTTTTTTTTTCCCCACCCACGTTTTATGTTCACAACCTTAAATCCAATTCCTCAAGCAATTTAAACCATTCTGACTTTTTACCTTTTTGTTTACAACACTTCCACTTCAGCATGACTGTCGACAGATTTTCACCAACATCTTAAATTGTGATGAAATCCACATTTTCAAAGAGAAGATTCCCAAACACAGACTTATTTTTTTTTCCCCCTTTCAGCATCGGCCTATTTGGACGTCACGGTGAAGGCACATGAGCACGGCATTTTGTTTACAACACTTCCACTTCAGCATGACTGTCTACAGATTTTCACCAACATTTTAAATTGAGATTAAATCCACATTTTCAAAGAGAAGATTCCCAAACCCAGACTTTTTATTTTCCCCGCTTTCAGCATCGGCCCATTTGGACGTCACGGTGAAGGCACATGAGCACGGCGTTGCCCTCTTGTGGAGACAAGCGCAAAGGGCGGCGTCCCACGTGGTGGAGTGGTACCCCGAGGGGCTCAAGCTGCAGGAGCTGCACTGGCTCAAACTGTCCGGAGAAGACAGTCGCGCCGTCATCACCGGTAAATTTCTGGTCTGCTTTCAAGTATTATTATATATTTCATTTCATGTGATATGGATCATCCTCTTCATATGTTGCACATCGTCGTCTTCGTGTTTTTGGTCTGTTTTTGTCGATGTGTTCCAGATCATTTTTTCAGGGTGTTCTGAATCGGCCACTTTTCCACGTGTTTTTTTTTTCCCCGTGCACAGGTTTGAATGCGTCTGAGTGCTACGAAGGAGCCGTTTATGTTCTCTACAGCGACGGCTCTATGACCACCAGCACCTTTAGGCTTCTCAACACCAGCCGATCAGGTGATAGTATGTGAGCGTTCAGGTTCAATGCTCCTCTGAGGCCAGTCTCATGATTAAAAAAAAAGGCACCCATGCACGAGAGTGAATTGTTTAAATCAATTTCTCACTCCTTTCATTTCTATTCCCTCTTTTGTAGTACCCAAAGCCGGTCCATCGTTTCAACAGGAAGTGGATGCCAGTAGAGTGACTTTGACGTGGGCGGAGCTTCCCAGGGTTCAGCGTGGCGGGTGCATCACGCAATACACCATCTATTTGGAAGATGCTAATGGAAGTGTGCAGCAATGTAAGAAAACCCAAAATGAATATCTTGATCGAGTTGATTTTTATCTCATTGACATTGTTGATTTATAGACTCAGTTCAAGCGACCAGGCGGAGATTTGTGTTGGAGGACCTTCCTCCGGGTGCCCACAGCCTGTGGATGACTGCTTGGACTTCTCAGGGAGAAAGTCCAGCCACTCGAAAAGTCAAGATCATAATCCAAGGTGAGCACATCAGGGCCAGCGTCCGACTGCATCACTGAAAGGCAGGTCGTCAGAATATTACTGTCATCATTCTTAGTGGGGATTGTGTCTTGAAATACGGGTGAACTCAACTCAACTCACAACAAGCCTAAATTTGGTCGATAGCAATTCTTAAAAAACGAGACTTTAAGCTGTTTTAATGCCACTTCCAGTTGAAGCTTATTAAAAAAACAAAGACAATTACTCATCGTATGTTGAAAATAACATCACCACTTTTCCTTCGCTGGCTTTGTGCTCACACAAAATGCAATATGACGGGCTAACAATTAGCAACAGATGTTTGAACAGCAGCAGCAGAGCAACACAGCCAGACAGACAATATCACAATATTCGTAGGCATGTATTCTTTATACTCTGCAAAGAACGACAAATATTTCTGCAGCTAGCTTAGGGGCTGTAACCACCTCCAGGCAAATGTGACCAAAAAAGGTTTGTTTAGATTTTATTTAATCACATCATGGATGTATGTTTTAATCAATTAAAAAAAAGTACAGTATTATAGAATGCTATTTTCTTACCTAGAAAACACAATGCAATTTTTTTTCTTTTTTGGGACCATTATTTTGTGTTGTGACCATGGTCATGGAACAAATTAAACTCATATCTCAAGGCACTGTTCGTTATTAGGTGGTAACAGTGAAACAAAATAAATTAAAAATCCACATTGCTGTGATGCAGTTTTATATCAAGGTTGTGGTGCTTAACCTCGGCTCTCACGACTAAAAAGAAATTGTTGTCATTCGCAGCTGTAGAAGGGATCCCGGTACTCCTCCTGGTCTTGTGCCCGCTGTTGTCCGTGGGAGTGTCGCTGTTGCTGTGCCTGTGTCAAATTGCAGCCGTGAAGAAGAGGTTCATAACATAGTGCAGCAGCAAAAAAAAAAAAAAAAAGGCCGATGATGGATGAGCTTACCTTGTTGAACCAGAACGCGTCCTCTTTTGCAGGGTGTGGCTGCTTTTCCAATGCTTCATGCTCCAAATGGTGCCGGATCCGGCAAACAGCAAATGGGCAAAAGAATGCACTCAGGACAAGGTGATTACAAAATAAGTGGAGTAAAGTAAAAATAATGTAAAAGCATCCCACAGGCTGGAGACTAAATCATAAATCTGTTGTTTTTTTGCTAAATTATGATGACATCATTGATCTTCTTGAGGTTGTTTTTTTTTTCTTTTCTGTTTTCCTTGAACTGAACTGTTGGCAAACTACTATTAATGGTAAAAAAAAAAAGACTTATAGTGCCTTCACAACAGTTGTAGCTGTAACAAAGCGCTTTACAGAACATTTATCATCTAGCTAGCTACCTATGTAGCTCGCTATTTAGCTAGCTATGTAGCTCTGATCAAACTATCAAACTAGCTCGCCATCTCTCTCACGTCCTGCCGACAACTCTCTCTCTTTAGCTTGCTATCGAGCTCTCTAACTTGCTTCTGAGCCATCTACATATAATATTTGTTTTGTTTCATTATTTTTAATTGATGTTTTGTTTTGTTTTTTTGTGTGTGTTACGGTACAGGGTAAAATGAAGTTGCATTCCCGGCAGAGTGAGTCCGTTCTGACCGAGGAGGAGGAGCCAGACATCATCATTATCATCACTGATGAAGAGGAGCTGTCTAATCACAACACAGAGGGGGCAGCCTCCACACCGACCAGCCCTTCCGCATCTCGGCGGCCCCTCACCACCTACATTAAGAGTGTTTCCATTGAGTCGGACGGCCCGGAGCAGACCCGGACTTTGCTCAACTCCAAAACGAAAACTGTAGACTACATCTCGGCTGGGTGCCAAGACGGACGCCTGGTCGAGGAGGAGGTAGATGGAGATGATGAGGACGAGTTTGGACACATGCTGACGCCGCTGCCCGCTTGCTGCTTGTTCAATGAGCGCATGGAACCGCAAATTATTGGGAAATTGACCCTGGATGCGGTCCGGATTGACTGCAGCAGTCTCTTTGAAAACTGCTGATCACATACACTACTCGGGGGTGGAACCTACTAGCCGACGAGTCGTATCAGCGTTTAAAACTTCAAGTCCACTACGCACTACTACATGTTTTTTTTTTTACACCTCGTCTTCCACTGGGTCCAGCTGCTTCCGCCACCAGACTAGAACTCCCCTTTGGAGCAGTGAAAATGTCAAGCAATCTAAGTGACAGTCTTCATAGGGGAGTAGGAAAATAAGCAGTTTGTGGATGTGAAACAGCGTTTAGCCTCATTAGCGTCAGCTACTTTGATTATTGCGAGTCGTAAAAGACATTGTGTACGTTTTTGTGCATGGCTTTTTGAGACTTGGGTCTGCTACTCAAGACAGACCCAATTTCTTGTTGCTAAATTAAACTGGCTGCGGGGGCTGAATTTTTGTTTCTGTCTCATATGGCAAGTTCATGACGTTTTGCTCTGCTCCTTCCACGCGCGGTGAGGAAAACTCAAATTCCTCATAATTTGATGATGCCCATCCGTCGATTATGTGTTTCAAATTGGGCAGCAATTCGACAACCCTCGAAAAAATGTGCAAGAAATATATTATAATATTTTTATTTTATCTACAAAATGACCATGTAGACAAACACAGTGAGACATCTTCATGTAATGTGCATAAATATACAGGTACGTTCATATTTACAATATCAAATGTCACTTACTGCAGGGGCATTGCTGCTGTTGTTTTGACTTGATGTTCGACCTGCTCTAGCCTACAGGCTCAGGAGGGACAGCCTTTGTCCTTTTTTTACTCCTTTTATATCAAAAGAATGAAAGACATAACCTGATGTAGTACCCAAATTGACCTGTGAGAGGCAGCAATATGCCGAGGGAAATACCCACTGTGGGGAGGGGGTGGGGGGGGGGGATGAAGAACCAGCTGAAGTAAACATATTCTTAAAAAGTGTGCAGATGACCTTTAAACTGGATATGTGCAATTTGTGAACCCTCAGCATGGCTTGGATTACCGAGTATCTAACAAGTTATACTGACAATTACAAACCTTTTTGTGTGGGCGTTGATTACCTTTCGCTATTCGTGACATTTACAAGAATTCTCTGGACAAACCTGGCCAGATGTATAAATCGATAAAAACAATTTGGACATTGGTAAAGTCCCTTCGCTCCTCGTAAAGTCCTTCACTGAACCTTTTTGTCCTTGTCGGCCACCACTTCTGACAGATCCTCGGGTTTGACGGCCTTCACCTGAGACTCCATTTGGCTGACCCGTTGCTTCATGCGCATCTGGCTGGAAGTGAACTCGGCCATGAGCTTAGCAAACTTGGTCTGCATGACGTCCAGGTTGTCCTGCAGCCTGGTCAGCTTCTCCTCCAGGTCCTTGGGGTCTGCACCAGCATTAGCCACCGCCTCATCAATCAGGTTGTCCTTCATCAATATGGCCTTGCCCTTCTCCTCCAGGGCCTTCTTGGCATCTGGGTACTCGGTGAGCGCCTCCATCAAGTCATCCTTGGAGAGGGCGAAGAGATCAGAGTAGCCCACGCTTCGGATGTTGGCTGTTCTCCTGTTCCCGGCCTTGCTGCCTTTGATGCCCAGGATGCTGATTTCCCCAAAGTATGCGCCGTCGCTGAGGACCACGAACTGCGTGACGCCGTCGTCGGCCACCACCGCTAGCTTGCCCTCCTTGATGATGTACATCTCCCGGCCGATATCGCCCTTCTTGCAGATGTAGTCCCCAGGACTGAAGACTTGAGGCTCCAGCTTGAGCACCAACTCGATAAGGAGTCCCGCCTCGCAGTCCTGGAAGATGCGCACTTTCTTCAGTGTGTCCAGATGGACATTGATGGCGATTTCAGCCTTGAGCTTGTCCGGCAGGTTCTTCAGAACCTCTTTCTCATCGCAAGTCTTTTTCTCCGTCCACAGGTAGTCGAACCACTTGATCACCCTGGCCTCGAGGTCTTTGGTGACCTTGCGGAACTGCATGTACTGCTTGATGGAGTCAATCTTGGCCTGAAACTCAGCGCGGGAGGCGTTCATGTTGGAGATCATGGCGCCGACGTTTCCGACAATACTGGCAAAGATCAGCACACCGGTGAGGAAATCGGCGATGACAAAGAGGTACTCCACGTCTCTCACCGGCGCAGGCGTCTCACCAATGGTGGTGAGGGTCAGTGTGGACCAGTAGAGGGAGTAGATGTATTTTCTGGCCAGGCGGCCATGCTCCGGGTGGCTGATGTTGGGGTACACCCAAGTGTCCGAACCGAAACCAATGGTCTTGGAGATAGCAAAGAACATGCAGGCGTTCCAGTGGATGATGACCAGGATATAGAGCACGAGATTGCTAATACGAAACATGTTGGGGAAGCTGGTCCTGGTCTCAGTCCTTTCGAAGAACTCAAACAGCCTGGAGATCTTGCAGAGGCGGTTGAAGCGGAACTCTGGGTTATTGTATCCATATTTCAGGAAGAGCAGATCGGTGGGGATCATGGAAATCATGTCGTACTTGAACTGTGACGTGGTCCTATATTTGGCTCTCAGCTTTGTGGCGTCCTTCACCAGGAGGCCTTGTTCCAGGTAGCCTGAGGAACAGACACAAGAATATAATCTACCTGCACATTTGCCGGCTATTAATCTGCAGTGATGCTTTGATTTACAGATTTAACGGGAACTGCGTTGACGCACTGCCAGAAACACTCAAGTTGCATTCAGTGTGACCGCAGCATAACACCCGAGACGCACTGCCCACACTACTTTCCCTTTCGAGTCGCCGACATCACCACACATCGGTTTATCTGAATGTGCAAAGCTGCAAGAGCTGTGTGAATGTACACTTGGGACTACCAGGCAAGTTCTGTCTGAAAGGCGTAGACGAATAAGTATCATTGGTTCAAGGGGCTGCGGCGTGGCCAAGAAACTGACCTGTCCTTGACCTGACAAATGTGTCTGTGTAGTAGATGAAGTCTGAGGTGTAGTCCAAGAAGATCCAAAGTTTTGTGAAGCGGTCCTGGAGTTCATTGAAACAGGCCCTGGTAAAATAGTTGAAAAGATTGAAAGACTTTTCAGTTTCACTTCAGATAGTAAACCAAGAAAGGAAAAGAATACCTGGTCACAATCATTATCAGGTTGTAAAACACCGGGGCAGCGATGACCGTCAGCCACCTGTAGTACATGTCTGCAGCTGGGTCCATGATCCAGATCTCCTTCCTGGGTTTAAAAATTAAAAAAGCTTTTGTTGGGGCCTTATCAAAGAATGCAGGAATCAGATGTTTCTGGAATGAAATCATCCTGATGTGAAGTCTATCGGAGAGTACTTACGGGGGCTCCTCTTTCTTTTTGTCATCTTTCTTATCATCTTTTTTGTCATCCTTCTTCTCGTCCTTTTTCTCATCCTTCTTTTCATCCTTTTTCTCATCTTTCTTCTCCTTTTTGTCATTGTTTTTTTCATCCTTTGGGTCTTTTTTAATTTCCTCTTTTTTGTCTTCCTTTTTGCTAAGGGAAACATTCTTGGGTTTTTAATTCTCTTCATCACAAAAGGGGATTCTATATCTATGAGGGACAACCAAAGGGATACCAGATTACACCAAGAGGAGAGGATCTGGTGGAGGTCTGGAACTATCTTGGCAGGTTGTTCTTTTTTTTAATCTTCTCTTTCTTCGTTTTTTGCCGAGGGTCATAAACTCTTGCTGTAAATTGGGGCAAAAGGCGTAAAGTACTGAAGGACTACTGGAGGGATTTCGGAGAACACCAAGATGGAAGGGTCTGGTGCAGGTTTGGAACTATCTTGGTAGTGTTGGTGCAAATCATAGCCTTCCGGCAGATCCCTTGCAAATTCACACGAAACCTCTGTCTTACAGAGATTCTTGTTGAAACTGTAGCTTTGGTCGGGTGTAACGCAACAAACGACCAAGACAAGGAAAAGAAGATTAAACCGGGAAGGGATGTCACTAGCAGCTAGGCCAGAGTACCACCCAGTTTTCTACCAAGTATACGCACTTACTCATCTGTGTTGTTGCAGTTATTCATGTTGTAAGTAGCTAGCGGCCACTTACTGCCAAGACGTTCGAAACAAAGAACGTAGTCAGGTCGCTTATTTCACGGTCGACGTTATTCCGATTATCACCACTTCTACTCACTTCTTCCTGCGTGTTGTGCTGTTGTGGTCCAAGGACTGTCTGTCACTCTTGCAGCCCGACATTTCTTTGAGCTCGGGGCCTCGGAAGCGCTCTAGGAAAGAGTCGCGCCTCGCCGGTACTTCAGGATTCATCCTGTTAAAGGCCCAGTTGCGCAGCATGTAGAAGAAGTAAGAGAGCCTAGACATGATCAGAGAGAGCGGAAACAACAACGACGTGACACCCATCTAGGCTACTGAGAAAAGGGGAGTGGTCAGAATCACAAGGCAGAGTCGCTCATGTCGGTGTTTACCTGGCCATTGCTCCTGGACCAGTAAAAAGCGTTCTGTTGGACTTTGAAGACAGCGCCCTCTCGGAATTGTGACTGGAAGACATCGTCCGCAGAACTTGAGCCAAAAAGTACCAATATCATATGTCACGATCAAAATGTTTTTTTCATTCTCACAGATCATAGCTGTGTCCCTCAGGCGAGGTAGTCTGCAAATGGCAACCTTCCGAGAATCCTTTAGGGGAGCCATCGAAGGAACCTCTAACTTTGCTAAAACCACCAGTAATTGAAAATGCTTGAAAAGTGTATCTCATGGGCACTGTCAATTTGTGTCCATCACTTTCTTACCCCTACATTGTGATGCCAAGTGGCTACATGTTAGCATTTTTCTATTTTTTTAAAGTGACACCACTGGGGTGACAGATGTCTGGAGAACCCAGGTAATGTACTCTACGGATCCAAATTTCGGAGGAACCTTTGTAAAGTCATGTCAAAGGGGATTGTCTACTTCCTGGTTCTGTCACATTATTCTTAAATTTGCACCGGGATGCTACGTGTCAGCATGGCTAACGTTTTTTTAAGGTCCCCCAAAGTTTCATAGTGCGGTGACAGACATCTAAAGAACTTGATCCAGAGACTACCAACATTTCACTCCAACAGATGAAAGGTATGATCCAATTCAGATGTACAATGCATACAATATACTCTACAGATCAGAACCTCCGAAGTTCAAATGGGACTGTCTACTTGGTCGATCCCCTGGCTCCTTCCTGGCCTTACCTTTACGAAATGATGCTAGGTGGCTAACATTAGCATTCCAACGGTATTTAAGGCATTCAAGTTCAACACGGGTAACAAACATTTGAAGGACGTCTGGATTTGAAACCAAAAACTTTGTGTGCCTGCTTAAAAACTTTCAATACAAGGGTGTACAAATATTAATGGAAGATCCAAAAGGCCGCAAAAGCTTGAAGTAAGCATGTTATGTATCTTCCCCATCACTGGAAATAAGACCACATTTGACCCCCTAAATGGAGACAAGGCTAAGAATCTTCAACCTTCAACCTTCAAGCATACCTGCTGTCTCCATTTTCGACGACGGACAGCTCCTCGTCCGATGAGCGACTGGACAAGCGGCATCTGGTCAAGTAGGAGATTTCGCTGTTGACCTTCGCCATGGTGTAGTGTTAGGCCCTGCTGGCCTAAGAAGAAACAATAACAACAAAGGAAAGGTTGCTTCGAAGTTGTCTGTTTTACTTTTTTTAAGAGAGGTTTGGGAAAAGACTCAGTGGACTGGATTTTTTTGAGATACAAAGTCTATTAAGATATTTGAGCACAAAATGACCGTTTCAACCCAAAATGGCCAACTTTCTGTTCAATTTCATGCTTCTTTAGACTTTTTCATGTGTCCTGTTATGATAGATATGTCCAACCCGTTTTATGTTGCTCGGTGGATGTGGCGTCTGATGCAGATTTTTCTTTTTTTTTTTGAGCGCTACGGGGACTTTCAGAGAATTGTATTCTCGGGGTTGTTCATCTCTCGGCTTTAATCGTTCTCGTTTCCAAAATATATGGACCCGACATAGACACGTTTCCACTGTGTGGCGGAGTGTATATATACAGCCACTAAAAATACACCCTCCTTATATCCTTACCACTAAACAGGATGAGCGTGTTCTCTGTGTGTGAACGGTCAGCCCTGCTTTTAAAATAAGTGCTACTTACGGGTTTGCTCTGGCCCTGCTGGCAGCATGGGTGTGTGAATATATAGCGCGGGTAAGTCTATTAGCCAGACTTCTTTGGGAACACATAGTTAAGGGCTGCTTTGTTCACCTCTGACAAGGTGCAGTCTGGACCGTTTTTTTGTTTTTTTTTCAAGATCTTCGTTAGCTACCAATTGTGAGAATTGTTTGTTGATAACAAAAGTTGCAATTGAGTCAACGGTAGGACTGTGATGCATGATGTCAGAATAATTCACAATTAACATAGTTGTCAGATGAAAAGCAAGATACAGTCAATCATCATCATTTGAAATTATCATCAAACTTTCAAAGTATAAGCCCTGGAATTTGCCCAAAATGTCGGCTTCAAACCGAAAGGACAAACTTAGTCTTCAATTTCAAGGATGGGTTCTTGAGTGGCGGCACAGTGTGTGCCCTGCAATTGGCTGGCAACCGGTTCAAGGTGTCCCCCGCCTACTGCCCGAAGACCGCTGGGATCTGCTCCTGCACACCCGCGACCCTCATGAGGATAAAGCGGATTGGGTGGATGAATGGGTTTGTGGGCATTTTTCATGCATCTTGTTATGATCGACGTACTATTTCCCGAAATGTGTCTATGATGTCATAATTTGAATAATCTAATTTGCAGAATAACCCCCAGCCCCGTACAGTTTGTCTGCCTATGACCTGGAAGCTAGGCTGGCTGAAGATCTTCCGTTTTCTGACAACCAGATGACATGGAAGCGCAATCATGTTCAAGCTGAAAGGTAAGCAGAACTGCAGTGTAACCAACCGGGCACAGGAGACATGAAAGTGTGGCTGAGATTTAGTCGATGCCAACACAGTGCAGTTGAATGGTTTGGTGAAGAAACACTGCCTCCAGCAGGGAAATTATGATAAAATCTTTCTGGGATGTGATTTAATTGGTCAGTGGCGTCATCATTTGCAATCTGGAAGTGCAGGTGTGAACACCTCCTGCTCTGGAGGAGTCTCGGAAGTCTTTACTGCCATTAAGCAGTCAGCATTGGTCCGTTTAATTTTTTTCGCCGTTATCTTTGCAATTATTTTAACTCCCTCGCGAACGTCTGTGGTTGTAACACGTGTCGGCACGTGCGGATTAGTGCTAATGCCAAGGAGTTAACAAACACAGCACAAGCCCCAACCCTCCTGGCCCCACTAGATTAAACGACATTGACAGTAGTTTACCTTTCGCCAGTGCAGCTATAGGGTAAACTTGGATAGCATTACATCATCGGCCACATCAACAGAAGCTCATTGAAATGTGACGAGAAGATAATTACGTTTTGACTCCTTGCCTGGATTTTTCATGTCAACATATGGGAATCTGGTTGCTTTAAAAAGTTAAGATTTGACTTGTTTATTTCATGTTATGTCCAGCGGATATAAAAAGTCGAAACACAACTGCCAAATTGGAAGGAATCATGAGCAGTTCAAAACAGCATTCATGGTTGTCTTTTTGTAACCCTTATTTTATCCAAAACCAAGTTTAGAAAAATATGATGACTATAATATCTTAAACTAAAAGGGAGGAGCTTCATCTTGTCAGACGTCAGCTTTGTCTAAATGCAAAATATTGCTTCGGTGCCATCTAGTGACATCTGGTGCCAAGTAACTATGTTGAACTGAGGGGGAGGAGCTCCCTTTCGTCAGGCCATAGCCTTTTCCAATTGAAAATGTGCTTTGCTGCTATCTTGTGGCACCTGTAGGCAATTACAGCCGTTTTGGGTTGGTAGAAATTACTTGCGTGGTTTACCCTAAGTGGCCCATTTTGAAAAGTTTCCCTCTTTTAGTACCTTTCATGCAGAGAAGAAAAAAAAAATCCTGTTTCATGCCGCATGTTGATGTTTAAGAGCTAGCTAGTGTGGGCTCGACTTTCATGCTTTCAAATCATGTTCCTGTGGCTTTGCTAACACTGAAGAAAAAAAACATTTGATCATGACATCAACATTAAAAAACATACTGTTCACCTTACTTGTTTAGTGGTTGTTGACTTACAAGTGACTCAAGACGATTTTCTGTGTTGATTTGCGAGCAAAGATTTTTGGGACGAATGCGAAACGGTGGCAATGAACATCGCAAGAAGCAGGCATTTGGTTGGTAGTGAACAATTACACGTGCATCCGTATTATCCCGCCCACTGGTGGTCAAGGGACGATTTTCTGTGTTGATTTGCGAGCAAAGATTTTGGGACGAGTGCGAAATGGTAGCAATGAACATCGCAAGAAGCAGGCGTTTGGTTGGTAGTGAACAATTACACGTGCATCCGTATTATCCCGCCCACTGGTGGTCAAGGTGCACGCCAGAAGGGGCAGCACAATGTCCAGTGAATCAAAGCAAAAAAAAAAATAATAAAGTAAAAATTGTCATGAATAAAAACATGAAAAGGTAGCAAAAACGGTTTAATTTTTAATTCTATTTAATTGATTCTATTAATTGACCATTTTTAAAATAAAGTACAATACCAAAGAATGCTACGCACGCCAGAAGGGGCAGCACAATGTCCAGTGAATCGAAGCAAAAAAAAAAAAAACTAAAAATAGTCATGAATAAAAACATGAAAAGGTGGCAAAAACGGTTTAATTTTTAATTCTATTTAATTTATGTTACCATTTTTAAAATAAAGTACAATACCAAAGAGTGCTATTTTTCTTATTTAAATATTATTTTTGCTCGTGTGTTTTAGGACAGCTTGAATGGGTTAACGGGATAACCAATTAATCGGCAGATTAATTTAAAAAAACTATTTAATGAATAAAATAACTTTGTTTTGTCCCCTAAACGCTGAAAACAATAACAATATGACTTACAGGCAGGACATATGACCGTTTTACAATTACTGTCCTTTCGTATTTGGTAAACGTCACAACAGGAAAATCAGAAAAATCTGCCTTTTTTTGCCAATTTTATGTTTGAACGTCATTGTTTTTGTCTTACATTGTAATGTGTGTGTAAGTATTCCCAAAAATTGCAATAAATTTGAGAAAAAAAAAAAAGAAATCCCAATTCTAAAAGAGCTCCTGTCAGCGGACTGTCAAAAAGCACAGACATTTGTGTTCCAATGGAGGGGGTAAAAGTAAAAAGTTGTCAGAAAAACAATTCCTCGAGTTCAGGTCGGATCCCTGACAAAATGGATTTAAGTACCAACCACTGAATGAAATTTAGCGGCGCAACTTATTGGTGCAGAATTACTGTTAGCGTTATGGTTGACAGAATGATCTGTTAATATAATAATGCTCTTATTTGGTTTGTGGGAGATTAGCAGCACTGTAGTGTAAAGACCCGCTAAGAGGCTTGAGGCTTTCTATTTATCGGGGCAACCTCATCCCGGGCAGGAACAACACTAGCTATGTAAGCTATGGTCAAGATGATGGTTTTGCTCTGTTTTAAATGGTTTTGTCATCACATTTTGCTGTAGAATATCTGATGTATATTTGCGGGAGGATACGTGAGCAATTGTTTTTTTATTTTACTTTTTTCTATTTATTTATTGTACTCATTAAAATTCAATTCAAAATGTCAAACGTATTAGAATATGAAATACGATACTGTGAATGAGAAAAGTATTGGTGCATGTTATTTCAAGAGTAGCTTTGCTAATACACACTAAACTACTGCGGTAAACAAGATTGTTTTATTTTGTAAAAAAATAAAAAATAAATACATAAATAAAAATAGATATTTTTTGTATTATTTATTTTTACAATTGATGTATTCATTTTTTTCATGGCTCAGACTATTACTTTTGTTGTTTTATTTAGTCACTGAAGTACGGATGTCCGCCACATATAGAAAAATGACTTGATTAATGATTTGTTTACAACGCTGAACTCGGTCATTAAAGTACTTTGTAACACTTTAAAAAAAAAAAATCACTCTTAAATTGAGACGAGTCAATGTACGTTTGTTCATAATAATTTTTTAAAGATGGATTTTTTTTTAAATGTATCGATTCAATGCTAGCTTAGCTAATATTTTGTATTAAATTATCCCATGAGTAAACAATGGGTTTTATTTTTTTTAATTTACACAAAAAGTAATCGTGTGTGTCGTAAAGCTATAATAAGTTTTTTTTTTTTTTAATATGTTGTTTACACTGTGTCCATAGTATTTAAAGAGTGCATTGGCTAAGCTTTGAGAAGAAGATCCATACAAAAAAATAAATCTTTCTCACATATGAGAATATTTTATACATCTTTTCTGGAATATTTGATTTTATTAGATTTTTATTTATTTTTTTTATATGCATTCATATCCAGTATATTGAAAGGGTACCTTTGGTAACATTGTTGCTGATACAGAGCTTTCTTGATTTGAAATATTTTTACTGGATCAATTTTTAGCGTTGCTTTGCTAATATTGCCCAGCAAACAATACATTTTGTAACATAAAATACAGAAAGTTAAATTTAAAAATAATCCCTCACAAAGCCGAGAATATTTAATTCACATCTTTTTTTTAAAAGGATTTTTATTCTTTCTTTTCTTTCTTTCTTTATTTTATATGGCACCTACCTGGTCACGCGTTTAAGTCCGCCACATAAGAAGAGACTCCTCTGAGACCGCCACCGTGCGCATCCATGCTTCTTCAAACCACCGTCGTCACCTCTCGTTCACGGCAAATATTAGACAAACAAATATTTCCCCATGGCTCACGCTTCCAACAACGCACATCCGCGGTCTTTACACGCGCGCGGTCTAGACATTGTCACTGCTAGACGAGGGACTGTTTGGATGAGGATGAGGATAAGGATGAAGAGGAGAGGCTCAGCCGGCAGAACCCAGATCAGGAGAGGGGAGGAGTCCTGCATCAAGGGGATGAGAGGATTATGACCACTCTGCAAAGAGAAGAAAAAGTCAAAAAAGGAAAAAAAAGAAGCAACAGTACAATTATATATCCCACCATTTCGACAATATTTTTGTACAGGTGATAACTGCATTTAGGTCTAACTCTCGTCTGTTTTGGGTGTAATGACACTGTCGGCCACTAGATGGTGGCACACCATTTAGTGTGAGACTACAAATCTGAAAGAAAGAAGAACAAAAACGAAGTGTTTCAGCACAAACTAGTTTTTGTTGAAAATGATTGAATGTCATCAATTCTAATACCGCATTTTACATGACAGAAAGTGACAGTAATCTGTTGTAAGAAAAAAAAAAAAAAAGAAGAGGATATGTTTACTGTAAACACAAAGAGATCTTTACACCGCAACTTTTCCATTAGTCTTGCTCTCTCTCATTATCTGTATTTAAATGTGTTTTATTATTTTAAAAGTGTGGTTAAGGAACTGAAAAACGTAAGTGCTCTCGTGCTGTAGAATCATACCGAGGGGATTTCTACATTGGGGGATTTCATTCATTGTGGGTGGTTTGGAACATAAGGCGGGTTACTGTATGCATGTTTGAAAATAAGTGCTGAAAATGTGCAAAGGCTGAGAACTGTGAAGTGCACTTTGGGTGCAGCTAAAACGGCCTCCGCCGAAGCGGCACGATACTTGAGTACCTTTTGTCTGTGTGAGCGGTTGTGCAGCGCAATTGCAAATGATTGAGTTCCTCCTACAATGCCCATTTCTATCACGAAAGCGTGCAGTTGCCTTCATTCCAAAAATGGATAGACATGGATTTTTTTTGTAATACAATTTATTTTTCACTGGCTGAAGACACAAGCGTTGACAAAAGGCCTGGCAATCTTACTTTCCTGTTAGCATTGTCATTATTACGTATAATCCAGCAGGCACAAATAAATGGTTGGATCTGGAGGGGTCATTATATTGATGAAGAAGCATGGCTAATCTCATTTCATCTGTTGTGGCGACCAATTGCCCTCTCCCCTGTAGGCTCCACCCCTCTCCTCTCCAAACCTCATTAGTTTTAGGCCAGGCTCCAGGTGCATGGAGATCCATTCAAAGCCTCTTTATTCATCATACCGCATGCTCATTATTGCGTTCTCGATGTGCTGCGGCGGCCACGCCGCCGCCCCCCCTCACGCCCCCCCCCCCCCGCACCTCCCCCAAACCC